TTCAAAATTCATAGTTGGATAAATCTGCAAGGCAAATTGTTAAAAGAAACGCTGGACATTTGGATGATGTTCACAATCTTGGATGGCGAGTGTCTTGGAGGACAGCTGCTCCACACTGTCTGACAGAGCTGGACCACAGCTTTCCCTGTGCGACAACAGTAACGTCACCACAGGTTGCCGGCAGGAACAGGACGCTCATGCTCCATTTGGGTTTATAGAGAATATTTGGACGTAGGTATTGGCAATCAGTTTTTCCTTGTAATGAAAGGGAGGTAAAGAGTGGGTTACTAGCTTCAGATTAAAATAATAGAGCACCAAAAATGGAGTTATGAAGTAACTCCACGATTTTTCTGCCAGTGTGAGCATTTGGCTGGTACATCAACCTACTGACAAGTATATTCTAACTTCAACAATCTAACCATTTAGAAAGCATGAGTGAGAAAAATTCATTCTGCTGATATAACTGGAATTCTAATTTCAGAGTTTCTTGGCCTCACTAAATTTATTTCAGACTTATGGCTTGGTTTTTACATCTCCTGCAATAAATAGAATGTTTGCCACGAGAAATTAACCAGTAACTTGTCATGAAGCAAAATTTAAATATAGATTACATCACTGATAAATATTATATATGCATTTTCTGTGTTTCAGGACCCAAGATAGCCTTACTTCCCAAGCTTATAGCATTAGCATATAGATGAACATTAGACAGCTTAGTGTACAAAAAAAGCAATGTAAAGGAAGGCAATGTATTTATTTTATTAGCAGAAATCTGTACAAAAATAGCTGGCCTGACACTTTATTCCCTAAACCATTATTAATGGGTTACCAGAAGTGATAAAAAATAAAAGCTGTTTCCTCAGAGTTTGGGATTCATGGACTAGAGGGGACTTCAGGTCAACCATCAGCCATTTTTCTCATAACTTGCCTCTTACTGAATCAGGGGTTGTCAGAGGGAGGACAGTGCCCTCTGGTCCACCCCCACTCATGGCAAGTGAGCTGCTGGCCCACCCTCTGTAATTAAACCTTAGTCCACCGGGTTCCTGTTTCAGCACCACCACAAATTTATTCTGTCACTAGGTGTTTTAGCCTCTCTTCACTTGGAAAAGGAATAATAACTTCAACTCATCTGACAGGAATGTCAGAAGGAAATAAAACAATGCTATGGAGGCGCTTTTGGAAAGCTGAAAAACCAAATGCAAATGTAGATGATATTATTTAAATGTAGATGAAAGATTTAAGACTATTCAGTCTTTTATTTCTAACTTGAAGCTTGGGAGAAAGATTACCATTTGCTTTTGCACCTTATCTGAACAGAAGATACAAAGCATCTCACTCTGACTTTTCTCTACTTCCAGCATTTGATTTCAAGAAGCCTTTTGTTGGCTAGCTGCCACCTCCAGAAACTGAAAAGAAATCCAAACTCAGCTCTAAATTAGGAGTGTGGAGATGGAAAGGACAGGAAACACTGATGGAACCTTTCTGGTCTCTATAGAGAATTAGGGCACTAATGTGAAGGTCTATAACCACCTAACCCGTTACAGACTGCAGAGACAAGGTTTGGTTTAAAATTGAACAGGGGGATGACTTGATTCAGTTTAAAGCTAAGCTAGAATCAGAGTCTCAACTATGACGATAGAAATGATACAGGTTTCATCCCCAGCATAAGAAAAGGCATGTGAAGGACCTGCCCATGTCAACAGTTGGTCCCCCAACGTCCCCCAAAGACTGACTGGACAGTCCTTCCCCTTCCCCGTCCTTTCTTAGGGACACCTTTGCAGGGGAAACCTCTCTGCCACCTCCCCACTCCAGATCACAGCTATTATAGAAACCCAGACCACCTACACTTCTTCACAAACATGGTTGATTGTTTGGGGCCATTGAGTCTTTGTTTTGTCTGTTCTCTTTCCTCTCCCATAAGCTCCGGAGGACAAGGAGATTTGATTGTATCCCCGGCACAGAACAGGATGCCTCAAAGAGGCCTTGATTAAATATTAAGTGAGTGATGACAGAAATATAACCTGCCAAAAACTTTAAAGCAGATTATTTCAGATCACAAATCATTTTTAGATCATCACATTTATGCAAATCTATGCTACTTACAATAAACCCTTAATTGACTGATACTCAAGGAGGACATATTGCAAATAGAGGGAAACCAGAAAATGAGGACATTAAGAAATTAATTTTAGTAACAATTTGGTGACAAAGAAATATGCTGTTATCTTCTGAAGAGGGGTCCTATGGCCTGTGTGGTTTAAAAGGTCCTGACTTACACATCTGGTTTTACATTTATGCATTTGGAAGACTGGGCATGAGAAGGGCAATGCTATCACTTACCAGGTTTGAGGCTGCAGCCCACAATCAGAAGACCCCAGAGAAGCCTCCTGGACCAGGGATCGTGTGATGGAACAGAGAGCTAAAGGCCACCTAGTCCTTCTCAGGCTCCCAGGCGCACAGGTAAAAACAGTTACCCGTTAGTCAGTTTGTTGTATCCTGATCACTTTCTCCTGTCCTAAAAAGTTTGGAAAAAACCAGATTTGGTATTCATTCTTATGCATGTAAATAAATGAGGGAGAAGTGTTTAAAAACACAAGCACCTCAGCAAAACATGCAGTTGATGTTCTTGCCAAGCTGGGCTCAGGACCATGCCTTTTGAGAAAGACCACCGCCTTCTGTCTGCTCTCTTCTCTTGCACACACAGTTAAGTACCATTTCCAACAAAATGGGTTTCTTTTTAATTTTTACAATATGACCTTCCCTTATCTTTCAAATAGCTTATGGAACATAAAACTAAATTCCACCTTCCTCACTAAGTGACATGGATCTATGATTTTCTGGGAGATAAGTTGACTCCATTCTTTTGTTAAAGAATAATGAAACCGAGGAATGAAGACTATGTCATCTCCAGGACTTCTAACACTATACAGCTTCTTTCCTTCCTTCAAAAGTTTGTGCACAATAAATCACACTGTAAATAAGAATGAATTGAGAGAGAGCAGAGAAGAAATAAAGAGGTACTGGGTTATTATTATTATTTTTTTAAATAGGGCCTTTAAAAGGAAATGCTTTGAGGCTATTAATTTGGAAAGAAAAAAATGAAGTAAAAACATTCTGTATATTTCAGATGTCCTCCTTTTCTTTGCCTTCATGTAAGTAATTATGCCAGTGTTTTATTTTATATACGATCATTGCTGTTCTTGTAGGTCCTAATAATCCGCAAATTCTAAACTCCATAAAAACAGACAAAGAGTTTAAAAATTTTAATGCTGTTTGATAATTCCATAATAACAATAGCAGGGCACTGTCTCCTATGCACCACCGGTCATCCAACTACCCTTTTACTCTGGCCATAGCTCGCCCACCTATGAGCAAAAGTCCTTAAAGTCAGATTACAAAACCCCCCAAAAGTCCATATATCTTTCAATTTCATAGTCAGGTCCATCTCAAGTTATGAACTGCCTTCATCCTTGATATTTTTGAAAACTCATTAATTTTATTTGTCCTTTGAGCAAGGAAGAGCCAGTCGTGATCAGAGAGGAAACTGGTATTTGTTGCTCTCTGTGGAGTCTCCCCTTTAATCTACTTAGTAGCAGCTGGGAGTGCAGACCTGGGCTCAGGCCAGACTGGGAAGAATAATTTTTTTCTCTGTAACAATGAGTATCTAGCAGAGTTGATTTATCATATAAAACATTTCAAAATGTATTTGGCAAAAGGATGGGTGAATGAAAAAATAATACAATGTCCATTGTTTTAAAATGAAGCCTTTCCATTCCTTTATCTTACTGTAGTTTGAATCTTTATGAAATAGATTTAAGAGAAGAAATCATGACGTTGAAAATGTTGATTTGGGGAGAATTTCAATCTTAGGAGCTTTGCTCAAGAAAACCGTAAGAAACATCTTGTCTAAGTGGCATTTTGGAGTCTCTCCAGAAGAAGTGATTATTTGGGCAAAAATAAGGTGTTCTAACAGCAAAACTATTTGAATATTTTCATTTAGGTGAGGCAGTGATCGGTCTCAATCAAACCACCACCACTAAATTTGGTTCATAGCTATAAGGAAGAGTGTGCCTTACTTTTAAAGAAATCTTTGCTTTTATCTAATCTACAGTCGAATCTGTAGATCAATACAGATTCCTCTGTCTTTACTTTTTTCTTGCAATGACTGGAATTTCCCGTTTGGTTTCCCCATAGAGGAGTCCTTGTGTTTCAGGGGTGACAGTAGGAATAAATCCTAATCCTAAAAAGATAATTGTTTATTTCAATGTGCCTTGATAAAAACCACAAGCTCCTGTCTTCTCCCTGGTGTTTCTCTAAAGGGCTGCTTAACTTGGCTATCGGATGACGTGCTTGGAGTCAGAACCAAGAAACCGCTTTCCCTTCCTGTGTGGGCTTAGGGGCTTCTCCAGGGAGAGGTGACTTCAAAGAAGCTACTTTGCCCCATGGGCTAAGCAGGAGCATACTCCCGTTAAAGGTAAATTTTGCAAACAAGAATAACCTTGAAGAAGGCAAATCAATGTTCAGGCACGTTGCCAACCGCTTATGACTCCCCTTTGACATTTCACAGATGTGTTATTTACGCTGGAGGAGCGGCAGCCTTCTGCCCTGAAGCCCAAAATTCTGTCCCACGCCTCAGGAGGGATTGGGGAGCCTGTCTTTTGAGCTGCTGGGGAACCAGGCGCCCCCTCTTGTCTTCTTGGTCAACTGGGTCACCTTGGCAGACTCCTTTCAAGCCTCTCTGGGACTCTCTGTGGTGCCTTAACCCGACTTTCCCCAGGGAATTCGTTCTATTCTAGAGGTCTCCTAGGAGTGTGGAGCTCCCACCCCTTGGGTCTGCCTGAAAGCGGAGCCTTCCCGCGGTCCCAGCCCCCAAGCTCTGGGATCTGGCGGGGCTGTGCTAGCCATTAATGGCCATCATCCATTTTTAATCAGAAAGATCACAAGAAGGATGGTAAGCGAATCCCAGTCGCAAGTCAATTTAAATAACATTCCTGGGGAAATCCAATCACTTCAAACTGAGACACCCACGCTAGAGAAAGCCCCCGCCCGTCTGGCGGGGAAGAGCGGGACCGCGGAATTAATCAGGATAGGGGGCTCCAGGGTTGAGCGCGGAGCGTTAACCCTTCCGGCCCCAGAGGTGACAGTGGGGTGGAAGAGCGCAGCCAGCACCGCCACAATGCCCACTGCGGCCCCGCGCAGGCGGCTTCTGCCCTCCGGGCGGCTCGGGACGCCGCGCGCCAGGCCCAGCAGGCTGGGCGCCCGGGGGTGACTGCAGCTGCTCCAGAGGCCGCTCCAGCCGCGAGGGGCGGCAGCCTCCCGCAGCCTCGGCGCACCGGAGCTCCTCCTTCCGCCGGAGCGAGGCTGAGCTAGGGCTGCTACGGTCGCAGGTGGTGGAGTGCGGGAAGCGCGCGGGACCGAGCCCAGCGCCCGGGGAGGGGCGCGGACCCTAGGACAGACGGGTCCCCTAGCCCCCCGCCCGGACAAGGAGCGGCGACGCGCGCGGGCCATGTGGGGGCCGGGGGTCACGGCCGAGGGCCTGCCGGTGGCACCCGCGCTGCTACTCGCGCTGGTGGCGCTGGTGGCGCCCTCGCGGGGCGGCGGGAGCTGTGCGGAGCTGGCATGCGGCGAGCGGGAGCGCTGCTGCGACGCAGCTAACGCCACGGCCGTGCGCTGCTGCAAGCTGCCCCTGCACGCCTTCCTCGACAACGTGGGCTGGTTCGTCCGCAAGCTCTCGGGGCTGTTGATCCTGCTGGTGCTCTTCGCCATCGGCTACTTCCTGCAGCGTATCATCTGCCCCAGTCCACGCAGGTACCCGCGCGGTC